TTTTTGTATTTTCGCTGTGCTTTGAAGTTTCTGTAGCTATTGATTTTTCGGGGTAGGGTCGCCAGTTCCATGTCCAATATTCCCTCTTCTCTTCGACTCAGGATCGGATAGTAAACTACTGAACTACCACACTAGGCGTTGTTGAAGTGCAGCATAACCCTATTCAATTTCAGCATCGCTGCCTACACAAATAGTTCATAACTTATTGAAGAATAAGAAGTGGTTGGCAGGTAAACAAACTTGTCTTATAACTTGAAGACATACTTTTATTTACTAGACTACAGGGATTGGCCATGGAAAGACCGGAATACATGGAGCGTGGAGCTTGTAAACTCGACACAGTAGCTGGATGAATAACTCACATTGTAGTCCAATGTGTCCCACAAATAGTGCAAACGATATAACATAAGATCGAGAGCCCTAATTTATTCGGAGCTTAGTCCTACTAGGCCAGGTATGTTATCTCATGAGCTCAACTGGTCATTCTGTATAACTGTAGAGATCTTGACTAGTTAACACCGGGCAGTATTCATATCACAACGACTCACAGCAGTCCCTTCAAAATACTATTCCCTAAAACTTAACGTCTGCACTCGTGAATGCTTGGCCCTATTTTGTAAACACTGGTGAACAAGTTAATACAAACTTTGCCCACATTCCCTACTTTTAATGAACATCCTTCCAGGGAATAACAGAAAGCAAAGCTCACCTCACTGCACACAAACACTCGGATAGTAACAAGGAAAACTACAAGTTCCAGAAGTGCCTTGAACTGAAAATCTAATGCTACTTTGGAACCTACTAGGGCTAACTCGACTATGTATGTATATTGGCGGGTGTGCTTGACAGTAGAATCGAACCAACTCAGAAACACCACTTAACTTTCGATAGAGAAGAAACTGATATCAAACAAAGCCACATTATTTTTAGAAATGTTAACAGCACCACATTCAATCACCAGGTTTAAATCACAACGTCAGGGTTGACAACCCAACACTGGTAATGCCATGTCCAAATACAACCTCGCCCAGTTTACTTGCTGGTTCTAAGCTCGAAAAGCGGGTAAGGTTTGGCGTAAGGCTGTTAATCCCACTCCCATTAGGGCAGAAAATTCGAACAACAGAAGGAACCCGTATTCATGAAACTGGCGCGGAATCATGCTTCTGTCTACTCCAAGCAAAATGCCATGCCGCATCATTCTAAAGGGACTGAAAGATGCCTTGTATGGAAGACTTTGCCCGGAGAAGACTGAATTCAGGAAAATCAAGCTCTGCGCTAACCGAATCCCAACAATACACATCACCATTGAACAAAACCTTGACTGACAGTAAGTTCAGTAGTTGAACTTGCGGACAGTTGTGAAGAGATCTGAAAGTGATGACACAAAACCGAGTGTAGTGGAGATGTACCGCCGACACCCAACATTTAAAGCAATTAGTTCCCTTTATGGATTTCGACAACACCTGCCTTGTGGTAATCCAATTTAGAACCAAGGTTCAATACACTTCACTGCTCAACAGTCCGCTCCGTCCTCCTTTATGGCTGTGAGACCTGGCGATTGAGAGCAGAAGACATGAAAAGATTAGCTGTCTCCGATCATAGGTGTCTGCGTTCTATCTCTCATGTGAAGTGGTATAATAGGATGAGAAATATTGAGGTTAGGCTTTCGTCGAGTGTTAGGTAAGGAGGGGAAATCAATCGACGAGACTGTGAAATTACATCGACTGAGATGGTTAGGACATGTGCTACGTATGCCTAGTCATCGCCTTCCTCGACAACAGGCAATGTTAGCTGATATAGGGTCAGGCTGGAAAAGAGCTAGCGGCGGTCAAACGAAAACATGGCACCAGTCAATGAAATCCACAACAATTAGTCTAAGCCAGTCACGTAGGAAGGTGTAGACTTCCTGACTGGTTGGGGTCCTCGGGACGGTAAAAACCAGTGGTTGGAAGCAATTGGTGACATGGCTCAAAATCGTTCTCAGTGGCGCAGATGCATCCACTCCTTGTAACTTATAATTTCCTGTGAAACTATATTGCTCTTCGATATTACTATTCCTTTCGTCTCATCCCTATCTACTGTCTCTATTATGCATTTCTTCTGCTTTCTTCTCTTGCTTTGTGTGCTACATGGAGTGTGGCGACTTGAACTGCCGCACATCGGTGCAAGTTCTATGTCGAAAACCGACCGACCGACAATATTTTCAACCACTTCTTTGTTTTTGTTTTTTCTTTTTTACCCACACCTTTGCATCATCTATTTCCCTACCCAAGATTTTTGACCTTGACCTGTACACAATCTGACCCGCGCTGTAATGATTCATACCTTCTTGCCTTCTATAGAACTGTGCATGACAAGTACGTGTGTGATCAGAATGTCCGAAATGTGTTGCGCTAATACGCACATTACACGTTTCAGATAAACTACGTCTTCTTATTGTGTTGTTGGAATAAAACATTGAAAAATGGAATCAAACTGACCAATACGCATTCCCGCTTCAAAACTCAACGGTATAACCGCACATCAAGAGGTGAAAATCGAATCCTCCAAGTACCTAACAACTGAATCATACCGAATTGAAAAGGTACTAAACGTTATCAAGCGAATGAACTCCACCTAGGACTTATACGAGACGTTGTTTATTTGACAAAAAGTGAGCATTCATATCTACAACATATAGATGGGTTAAACTGGAGCATAAAGTTCACAGATGCGGCTTCATACACAAGAGACAAATTTGTGTAGTAAGCCAAATACACAAGTAAGCCTTATTCACAATGATCCCAATCAATGAAACCATTGAGATCATTTGTCAACAGTCTGATCTTCTCCCATTACCAGAATCGGAATTCAAACGCCTACTGCTGATGTGTACCATGGGTGTACAGTTCCAGTTTGACAACACACTTTATCGACAAATAGATGGTGTAGCTATGGGCAGTCCACTTAGCCCTGTTTTAGCAGATATCTTCATGTCAAACCTTGAGAAAACAAAGTTGAAGCATGCGATTGACGAAACAACTTCTTATTGTCGATATGTCGATGACACATTTGTAGTGTGCAACAATGAAAGTCATGCTTCCTACCTACTCAGATTATTCAACGACGCACATACCAATATTGAATTCACTATAGAACATGAAAGTTAGATAGTAAGTTCCATTTTCTTGACATTGCCATGCAACGCCTAGAAGATGGTAGCCTCCAGAGGTCGATTTACTGAAAGCTGACATGGAATGGACAATACTTACACTTTAATAGTTTTTGTCCAAATAGCTATAAACGAGCACTAGTCATGACTCTGTACTACAGAGTGAGGAGAATATGCTCTGCAGAGAAACTAGAGGAAGAATTTACGATTCTCGAAAAGGTGTTGAAAACAACGGTTATCCTCAAAGATTCATTAACAAATATGGAAGATGTGAAGGCTCAAATACCAAACAAATCACAGTTGAAAAACAGCCTGTCTTCATTCAACTAGATACCCTTCTCATGTTAACTCCAACTGTGTATACAAATTAACATGTATCTTTGAGAGCAGTTACATTGGGAGAACAGAAAGAAGGGCACACGTCTACTTTTCTGAACATGTGCGAAAAACCCACGTCTCAAGGGAACAAACTCTTATGATAGAGCTATTACCAGACATCTCCTCGATACAGCTCATGGGGTGGAAATCTCAAAATCCTTTAAAATAATCAATAGACAAAGGAGCTCAATTCTCCTCAACTTTGCCGAAGCAATTTCTGTCAAACGCTTGAAACCAGATTTATGTGTGTTCGGAAAGAAGCAGTTGTTAGTTTTTCCTTGCCCATCTTGGTAACTGGATGTCTTTATTCTCTCATTTGATTACGTAAGCCTCCAAAGCCTCAGGATGGTCGGGGGTGGGTACCTTGCGCTGCGGGTTGGCCACCCCTCCGCACACCTTGAAATGCTCCCATATGACCGGGCGTCTTACATAGTCTCTCCTGAGGAAGTCCTACTCACTGCCTTCACGTGGCGGAGGTGTTTTTCACCAAAGTGAGAGGGCGAAAGCGGATGACCGGCGCTCTTCACCGGGTTGACTGTCCATTGGATGACAGTCTAGGGGAGATGGCTAAACCCTGATTCCAAACCTCCAACGACTGGCGTATGAAGCTCACTGGAGCTCACCGGCAGACGTATGGACAAAGGGCTTGTTGGATGTCCTGGATGTCTGGCCCCATTCAAAAAGGCGTATGAACTGAACTCCGGTCAGCGGCTGCCAATGGATAGTGGACTCCCTACTCCACTCCTACTGCCTTGTAGGTCACACTTGGTTGTGTAAAGGCTAGAGCTGCACTCTCAAACAAAAGGCCGAGCGATTCTGGGGACATCACTCGTACCAAATTCCCATGAAACTTCATGAACTCTATGTTCATGAAGCCGGCTCATCCTCCCGTAGGAGATAGCCGAAGTAAAGCAAGTAAAGCAAGCTTTAACCTCACCTCTTCGATACAGTGTAATTTTGCTTTGTCTCTTGTTTCTATGATTTGAGTTGAACTCAGTACATTGTTACCTAATTCATTAGTCACTCAGCATCTTACGCATCTCTCGTCTTTATTACGTAACTCCTTTACGATTGTATGCATACATTTATTTTGTTTAAACTTGAACTGTCTGTGTAAAAACTATATAAACGCAATTTTCTGAGCACTGTTCACTAAGTCAGAAACTTCCTGTCAACTGACATCATGGAAACAATTTGCAAGTATGTTAAAACTTTTCTGTACATAAACCTCATAATTTATTTAGGCTGTAAGCAGCTGGGCTGATGAGAAGCCAACGAAATAAGCAATGATGGTACCATGTTATTCTGCACAAACCGCCACTGTTGTTCTTGCTTTATTCAATCAAATTCACCAAGGGGAATAAATGCATGAAGTAAGCCCAATATACCATGTATGAAAAGCAACACTGATACGACATCTACAGAAAAACTAATAACACTTAAATACAATTTACAATGATGTACAGCTTACCTCACTGCCTGTATCAGGTGTAACATCAACTGAAGACGAGGAAGGCGTTGGACTCTTTTCATCGTTGTTAGTCGAAGTAAGCGGTGTATCTGAATTTGTTGTTTCTGTTGCTTCAGCATCCGGTGTGACTCCATCGCTATCTGAAGCAATAGCACCTGAAAAAAATAATAAATTCCACAAGTGAAATATCTTGAAAAGAATGCAAGTTAACCGACAAATGTGACGTAACAGTCTTTTAAGGGGGAACAAAATTCTCCTCATTGGCGGACTTCCTCTACAAGGCAATAACTATAGTTTGAGAAGAGCGTTTCTTGATTTCTGTGGTGAGAGCTGGCTGCTAGCCACAAATTGGTAGACAGTAATTTACGTCAATGTTGAAGACCCCAATATTGATCATGAGAAAAATAAGAACAAAGACTGACTACTCAATAACCAATCAAAGCAGACTTTGCGTAGACGGATACAATTGGCAGATAGATAATCTGAACTTCAAGAAACGGCCACAAAGAGATGAAAGATTAACGTTCAGCGAGAAACCACCAATCAGAGGACTGTGTTTGTTTGCTTACAATAATCTATAATAATGTACATGAAAATCTATAAATATCTGTTGATTTCCTAAATAAACGATCTGTTGCCTGGCCCTTGTCTTCTGTTGTTACATTTCTAGTTATGTTGAAAAGAGACGTTTTAAGAGTTGAACAGCAGAACTTCCGAGAAACGACGACGAAGTGCAAACTAAGTCAAATTCGAAATTTACACAGTTCGAGGCGAAATTTCACCACGGCTTCCTTCGGAAGCCGAAATTATTCAGATCACAAAACGTGATCTGCTTGGTGTTGTAAGTGGTTAACCAAGAAACCAAACAAATTCATAAAGAGAAAGATGAGCATTTTCATACCACTCACTTCAAGCAGTAGTAATTTGTGCGTCGGTGGCACAGCGGTTAGGACTCTCACCGACTATGCATATGGTTCGGGGTTCGATCCCCTTGCTGACGCACACCTGATATCAATGGTAGGCCTGCGAAATTTGGGCTACCGATATCACATGCTGAAAATTCCATACTTGTACCGAAAATACTGTGTGGTTTCAAGCTATAATCAAAAACAATAATAATAATAATAGCTACGCAGATGGAAGCGATCTAAACACCGGTTGGCCGGCTCACGCGTTTTGGATCAAGCTCATCAGTGATGTACCCAATTTCACTCAGCTCAGAGACTCAAATTAGTTCAAACCACCCGACTTCTGGCTAGAACAACCTAATTTGAAAGTCTTCTCGTAGCTACATAGGTTTTTCTGGTTACGAGAATGTCGGATAAACCAATGTCAATATGCACAGAACGTAAGCTCAGGCTTAATAATTCCTCTCATTTGAAGTTGTTTCCATATAAATCAATTACTCAAAAGTAAACAGAAAAAATAACTACACTGGATATTATTTTTAAAAAAAAATCAATAAATTACCAGTCATATTATAATCGAATGTGATTTCTTCACCCTTTTTTATAAATCTAGATGCATAAAGGGCAATCCTTGGTAACTTTGTGTTAAGACATTCAATGAATACACAACGAACTGTAAGATTTGGATCACACTACAAAAAGCACAAAAAAATTGGAAGAAAAAAACAAATCGTTAAATTTATTTAAATATAAGTAAGTAAGTAAGCAATCGGAGGATACACTTTAAATGCATTCCTTTTTCTGATTCTTATGCGTTCCCAATGGAATACAACGCTTTAAGCTAAGGGGTGGGGTTGTTACCCTCCCACCAGCCCAACCTGCTCTCCTTTCCGAACATACTACAGGCTATGCAAGGGGCCGTCTTTGATCATTGGTGTCTGCGTTCTGTCCCCCGTGTTAAGTGGTATAATAGGATGAGAAATATTGAGGTTAGGCTTTGCTCGAGCGCTAGGTAATTGGGAGGGGGAACCAATCGACGAGGCTGTGAAGCTACATCGACTGAGATGGTTAGGACATGTGTTACGCATGCCTGCCTAGCTATCGCCTTTCTCGACAACAGGCAATGTTAGCTGACATAGGGTCAGGCTGGAAAACAGCTAGCGGCGGTCAAACCAAAACATGGCTTCATCAGTCAATGAAATCCACAACAGTCAGTTTAAGCTAGTCATGTAGAGAAATGTAGACTTCCTGACTGGTTGGGGCCCTCGGGACGGTAAAAACCGATGGCTGGAGACAATTAGTGATATGGCTCAAAATCTTCGTTGTCAATAGCTGGCGCAGACTCATCCACTTCTTGTGACTTATGATTTCCAATAAAACTATATGGTTCTTCGATATTACTACTATTTTTGCCTCATATCTCTGTTTACTGTCTTTATTTTGCATTTCCTTTTACTTTCTTTTCTTGCTTTGTGTGCTACATGGAGTGTGGCGACTTGAACTGTGCTGCACATCGGTGCAAAGTTCTATGTTGAAAACAGACAGATAGACACAGGGGCTCAGGAGTGAGTCAATCGACAATCAGACCCTGGCCAGATGAGTGGTTTGTGAGGATTCTCTACTCCTGGATCATTGACGCGATAAACTACACTACTTAGCCCCAACCGGCAGTCAAATTTACCTTCCTGTACATGAATAGGCTCTGCAGAAAACGTTTTTAGAAGGTATTTCACATTCTTAACGTTTCAACAGTTAGTCACTTGTATCTCAATTACCCAGTATTGGATTTATAACTCACACTTATTATGTGATGGCTAATGGTATTACCCAATTGCCCAGGTTCAAGTAAGTGGAGAGGGAGTCGAACCCCGAACCTATCGACGAAAAGTCAATTGGGTAAGAGCCAATGCACAGAGCCAGCCAATCGCCACAATGTTTCAACAGAACCTTAAGAACACCTTTCCTACAGTACTTCAGTTCAATTCAATAGAAATATTTGCAAATTAAATTAAATGTATTACTGTTTCAAAAACAAACTTAGTTCAAAATAAGCACTAAGAGGTGTATCATCATACAGAACAATAAAACAACGACATTATATGGGAAAAGAAGGCACAGTAGTTCAGGAACAACGGAATTAAAACAGCGAGGTAAACATCAAGGATATTCAAGAAGGCACCCATTACTTCATATTATTCTAAAAAAACATATCCTGCTTCTTAGATACATTTGATAGCATTTCGAGCCACAAAGTCGTAATTTACCAACAGATATTAAGCCCACAACGCCATGATGTTGTGGGTGCCAGTCTTTCCTTAGTCCATCCAATACAACAAAAAGTGTACGATATGCAAGACATTGAGATGACATTTGTAGGACATGTTCAGTTCATCGAAGCTGACGTTAGACCTTAGAATTACCACCACGGTGCTACAGAGACACCGACCATCAAATCCTCTGAGTTACCGCACATTCTCAGCTAGGAGAGGTCATTTTTCAAAAATATAAGAAAATATCAGGAATCGAGACGTTGTCAATCCAACCTTTGACAGATACACTAACATAGTAGACAGCCATTTCTTATTCCTGTATTCATTCACTTCAAATGCCTCGATGAGTTTCCCGTTGTGGATCACCTGACAAATGGCATTGTCATATAACTGTGTAATGCGGTTGAGCATTGCACGCCGTAGTGTTGAAGGAGTTCACAAATTATTTCGCAGTAGAAGCTGTTGAAAGTCTTTTTAAAGTCAATGGAACTCAGGTAAAAGTCTGACTGTCACTCTATGCTTTGTCCGATGATGATCCGTAATAGTTGCTATTTGATCCGCACATTATTTGTCTTTATTGGATCCATCTTGTTCCAGTCGGAGTTCTGCATCCAATGGATCCTCCAGAATGACGATATTTAATATTTTGCTTGGCATGGACAAGAGCATGATTCCTCACCAGAGGCTTAAGTCGCCCTACTGAAACGATGGTCAATTTTATCAACATTCATTTGTTGTTTGCCTGTCCTGGGAAAGTGGGAATACCACCAGTTAGTATGGTGATATGGTCACACTTTTCATCTGATTCCTTCTATTATTTAAATTTTTCATGTTTCAAATGTCATATAACATTAATAGAATCACCAACTCATACTGATTTCTACACCATTCAACTTATTCACCTGACTACGTTGGAATAAAACAAATTCTTTTATGTCATTATAAGTAGTTTCAATGTGGATTTTGTCATGCGCCAACATTAGTTAGGAGATCAATGAAAACCAGGGAGCACTGGATAGCTGTTTCGTCCTACTTATGGGACTCTTCACCAACACACACCAACGGCCCCACCACCGATCGAAGCCGCGACCTTCATGCTACCAGATCAAGATCACTGACCATTATTCAGTCACTTCGGTCAGAATCCAATGATCTTTGAATCCCACTGATCACCACTTCGTATTACAGCTTCACGCCATCCACCCAGCTCACTGGCGGCAACTGGATAGACGTCCTGAAGTTGTTCTGAGAAGTCATGATCAGTGGAGTTCATACCTCATTGAATTGCACCCGAAGTGGCTGAATAATGGTCAGTGAGCATAAAAGTAGCGGGTTCAATTCGTGGTGGGGTCGTTGGTATATATTGCTGAAGAGTCCCGTTGGTAGAACGAAACAGCTATCCAGTGCTCCCTGATTTTGAATGATTCCCTTACTGATTTCATTTTCAACAAATCACTGATAATCAACACTTGATGGAAGCGAGGACTATATAAATTCATACCTAATGGACAGTTTTCTGAATGTTTCACCTACGATTCCAATCACAATACAGATAACAAGAGTAAGATAATCACATTTTAGAAGTTTTTCTAATATGTCACCAGTAGGCAGACTACCAGCTGCAACTCAGATATTCTCCGTATAATCCGTGAGTCGACGGTTCAAGGGTAGAATGCTAGTCAGCGACGCACGCGATTTTGGTTCGATTACCGATCGACTCATTCTCAAAATTCAAATAGCAGGTAATAAGGCCGGGAAAGAGAAGAAGGTTTGCAATGATGTTAACAACTCTGCCTCGTTAAAACAAAACAACAGCTACTGAGACTTTAAAGCGTGAAGCTTCATTTTCCATTAAGAAATGACTGGCTAGTTTCAACACAGAACTTTCTACACATATGCAGCAGTTCCACGTGCCACACTCCCTCCATGTACCACACAAACCAACAGAACAGAGTACGCAGAGACAGATTCAAAAGGGAGATAATAAACACAACTATGAGTGAAGGAAAACGAATAGTAATATAGAAGAACAATAGAGTCTCATTGCATATGACAAATCACAAACAGTGAATGGATGTGCGTCGGTGGCACAGTGGTTAGGACTCTCGCCGACCATGCACATGGTCCGGGGTTCGATCCCCTGCCGGCGCACACCCGATATTTATGGTCGGCCTGAATTTGGGCTACCGATATCCATGCTGAAAATTCCACACTTGTACTGAAAATACGGTGTGGAATCAAGCTGTAAATCAAAATAAAAAATAAAAAAAAAAATCTCCACCATCCATTGACAACGAAGATTTCGAGCCATATCACCAATTATCACCAGCCTTCATTGGTTCTTACCATCGTGATGACCTCAACCAACCAGTCAGGAAGTCTACCCATCCTCACATAACTGGCTCAAACTAACTGTTATGGATTTCATCGACTGATGAAGCCATGTTTTTGTTCAACCCTATCTGCCAGTTATGTCAGCTAACATTGGCTGTTGTCGAGGAAGGCGATGGCCAGACAGACGTAACATGTCTGAAAATATTTCAATCTATGCAACTTCACAACCTCACCGATTGATTTTTCGTACTAACCTAGCACTCAACCGAAGCCAAACTTCAATAGTACTCATTCTATTACGCCACTTAACACAGGAGATCGGAAGTAGGTAACTAAGTAGGTACCAAAGACAGCTAGCCAAGCTTTTAATGTCTTCCACATTCAATGGCTGTGTCTCACGGTCATTAAAGAAGAGAACGGAGCGAACTGTTGAGTAGTTCACACATCTCTTATTCTTCCACTAGGAAATTCGAGGGAATTTTTAAAAAATCAGACTATTCACCAAAGTAAACCATGACGTGAAGAACTTAGAAGACCTGGATTTCGTACGTGGATGATATATGTTTGATGTCACAAAAAATCGAAGACTTACAAGCGAAAACCGACAAACTGGTCGAAGAAGTAGCAAAGACAGGAATCCAGGTGAACATAGACAAGACGGAGGTTATGAAAATAACCAACCAACAACAACAACAACAGCAGCAACATCCAGCGCCAATCACCATCATCAACGGGAGGGATTTGAAAGAGGTTACTTCATTCACTTATCTAGAGAGCATTGTCTCAACTACAGGAGGAACGGACGACGAAGATGTCAAATCGAGAATCGGGAAGGCGAGAAACACATTGATCAACCTGAAACCAATCTGGAAATCTTCGTCACTCAGCCTGCATCAACAACAAAATTCGGATTTTCAATACAAACGTCAAGTCAGTCAATTCTTCTATACGGATCAGAAACTTGGCGGGTCACAAAGAATATTTCCAACAGCCTGTTGCAGACCTTTATCAACAACTGTCTTCACTCTATACTGAAGATCAGATGGCCGCCGGAAAGAATCACCAACAAGAAACTATGGGAACAAACAAAACAAGAACCAATCGCCCAACAAATATGCAGGCGAAAGTGGAGATGGATTGGACACTCGCTGAGGAGGCCGCTGGGTGACATCGCGCGTCAGGCCAGTGGTCGAGTGGAACCCGAAAGGGAAGCGGGGAGTGGTTCGTCGGTGCAAGGGTGACATGGAGGAGATCGTGTGAAGTGGAGTTGAAACAGCATGGACTAACATGGATGCAAGTGAAAAGTATAGCAGAAGACAGAAGCAAGCGGAGGCGTGTAGTTGAAGCCCTATGTTCCACTAGGAACCCAAGGGAACAGTAATAATAATAATAAACCATGACAACCAAACAATCAATCAATCAAATAAATAAACACATATGCTTCAAAATCTGAATAAGACTACAGGTATCACAAGAAGAACAAGAAAAACAAGTGATAACCAGTTAGTTAGTTAGTTAATTAGGTGAACAGAATTATACACTTACTGAATGATTGATGAAATGTGATATATTACCCATTTGGGAAGCATCAACTGTGTAATGTGCATCACCTTCAAAATCTAAATCGAATAAATACGTCATAGTTTGTTTATCATAGATTAATCCACGTTTCTCTGCCTCATCGAAAGTTAAAATCTAGGGGGAAAATGAAAATTGGCGGGGGGCGGGGGAAAGAACAATACACACAGAGCGATTAGTAAACTTTAAAAATGAAATCTCCATTGAGTATAATCTGTAATATACACACACGCACACACAGACTGACTACCTGACTGGTTTCCACATAGAACTTTGCACCAATGTGCAGCAGTTCCAGTCGCCACAACCCATGTAACATACAACGCAAAGGGAGACAGTAAAAGAACAATATAGTTTTATTGGGTATTATAAGTCACAAGGAGTGGATGCATCTGTGCCAGCCATTGAAAACGAAGGTTTTGAGGCATATCACCAATTGTCTCCAACGATTGGTGTTTACCGTCCCAATGACCCCAACCAGCCAGTCAGGAAGTCTACACCTCTCTACATGACTGGTTTAAACTAACTGTTGTGGATTTCGTTGACTGATGAAGCCATGTTTTGGTTTGACCACCACTGGATCTTTTCTAAACATTGTCTGTCGAGGAAGGCGATGATGATTTCCCCTCCCATCTAACTAGCACTCGACCGATGCCTAACCTCAATATTGCTCAACCTATTATACCACTTCACGCGGGAGATAGAACACACACACACACACAAAGATCCCAAGAAAATCCAATAAAAATGGCAAATTTCGAAAATCTGTTTATTTTTAGTAGACTATATGTAAATAAGGCAGCAATGCTTAATGGAAAACGATGTTGTTTCGTTAGTGGTGACTGGTAGTGGAATCCAGGATGCATATTTCGTCCTATTTGGGACCACTCGTCAGCTGGATGTACTTACACCCATCCATCCATCCAACGATGTATCCACAACGAGTAATAGTGTTCCCATTGGGACTCGAACCCGACACCTACCGTTGTATCAAAGGTCAAAGTGTTATGCAATAAAAACCACTGGGTTGTTAACTGTTACAATCTGTTTAACAATAAATATCAAAATTCACTTTGATTGAGTGTCTTTATTTTGGTAGGTTCAAGGAAATAATAGTGGTATGGAGTACTCCCACCAAAACAGCTTACTGGAAATGACTTCGGCAGCCTATAACACGGAGCTGGCTGACTTCAGTCTGTAACAAAACGAAGAACTGGACGTATGACATTAGTTACTACATAGTGTCCAATCAAAGTATTAACTGCGGTCCTTGCAGGAAGTCACTTGCGAGGCCAAATAACTCAGTGATCGAGGTTTGTATCTCGAAAGGGACTTTTAACAATAAACTAGTCTGATGCTGGAAGGAAATGAATCCGCCGACGTTTAGAATTATAAAATTTTAAAAAAGTTCAATCTTTTAAAATCAATCAACATGTCTGTTGAAGAAAAGAGAAAAAAGGAAATAGCAATGCAAAGAATAATTTTGGGTGTAAATTAGGTATCTATGCAGTCATAATAGAAGCGTCGGCCGCCATTCTCACAAGATAGTGAAATAGTGAAGATAGATTTTCGTGGCGTTGTTGTATTCTCTCTAAGCTGGATGGGTTAAGTACTGCCTGACTGAGCTTCAACATACTTCAAGCACATATGAAGCACACAAAGGCAGACGAATGAGTGAAAGAGGGAGGCAACCAGGGAGAAGGAAAGAACAGTGACATGGAAAAAGATCAGGGTTTATTGGATGTTTGGGGATCACAAAGAGTGGGAATGCATCTGCACCAGCCATTGATAACGATTTCGAGTTACGCGTCATTGATTTTTAACATGCCAAGGACCTCAACCAGTCAGTGTCTACACCTCCTCACATACCTCAAACTAAGTGTCAACGATTTCAAAGACTAATGACAGGTTTTAGTTAGATCACCTCTGACTCTTTTCCAACCTGATTCTATATTAGCTAACATTGACCGCTGGCTGAGGAACGCAACGAGTCGGCATGAGCAACAAGCGTTCAAGCTACCTCGATCGATGACCGATTTACCCTTCATACCTACTGAACCAAACAAACAGCAGTTGTCACAATAACAACAGCAAAAGAAAAAGCATTTTAACCTACCTCTCCTAAATATTCAACTACAAAAGTTCCCTTTCCAATAGGAACCATTGTTTTAACACCCCATCCACGATCTTTTGTACGGAAAACGCATAAAGGTACTTTTCTTCCCAGTTGTACAACACGAAATGGACAAGTTGAATCACAAGGACATCTAAGAACAATGCAATAGCAAATGTGAATAGATTCATAGGAACAATTACAATAAAATATGAAGAGTATTAACATATGAAATTCTACAGAAAGGTGGGATTACAACAAGAACTACACTGGGATTCCTCTATGCATAGTTTGATAAGTCTGACAATCATAAAAATTTTCAAGTTTCGGCTTTGTAGGGAAACTTTTTTGATTGGTTGGAGGATTTCATCATGAGCTGACATCAGTTAGAGAACCATTTGAGTACTGGACAGACGAAGAGTCCTGAACTAGGACGAAACAGTTGTCCAGTACTCACTAAAGGTTTCCCAATGGTTCTCCAACTGATGTCGGCTCATGATGAAATCCCCTAACCAATCAAACGAAATCCCTACAAAAACCAATACTTCACAATTGATCTAATGCTCACTAGCGACTGGCGGTATTTCAGCAGTTACATGGAGTTCTAGTGGGAAGCCGTGACCGGTAGCGTAAAGCAGGTTGAAGGTGAGGCAGTAACTCATCGAAGAAAACATTGCGAAGTGGTCACGCTATGTCATGAATTGGCAGAAGTTGGAATTCATGGGCTGGTCATTGGATCGGGTCCCACTGGCTTAATGATCTACGAGCTCGCCTTGTGACCAAAAGGTCCCGAGTTTGACCCCTGGTGGTGGGTGAGTACTGATGAAGAGTCCCAAACTAGGACGAAGCAGCTGTTCAGTAATCCTAGGTCCTCTAACTGATGTCAGCTCATGATGAAATACCACAACTAATTATAAAAATGTCACCACAGCTCATATGTGTAGCTGACTGAATCATCAGAGCAAAAAATTCACATAAAAGTACATTGGATGTACTTGTCCGTGCCCCTCGGTAATTTCCGCAGAGCAACTTATTAGTTAACTTTTTTAATGTCAACTTTAATAAGCATAATTAACAGGACCTCTTCAGAAATAAGTGAATCTCCCCAACCTATGTTTCACACTTTTTCTGTGTGTGTGAGTTGATCTTGCTACCGAGTTATCCAGATCAAACGTAGATGAAGCAGGACTCGAACTAGAAGATGCTTATCCTCGAACAACACACATTCACACTGACGATGATATACCAACTAAAACGATTCAAGTAGTACACATATTTTTGACTCACAGTCTCTTTCTCCGACCCCTCACTTCTGGTCTGCATAAGCAAAACACTCCGATTCATATTCATACATCAACCAAGCCCCCCCCCCCCGATTAGTTAAAAATGAGCATAACACAGTTATCTAAGCATAAACTTGAGAGGGAGTGGACACCAAGAAATATGCCACACAACCTGCTACATGAAAACTTTTTACATCTAATTGAATGAATTAGGTTAAGAGATGTCTTTGAAAGACCAACTGAAACAGGTACAATTTCACCTCAACTACATTTCAATTAAACCAAGTGTTCTCAGCGAGAAAGTAAACTAAAATTAGAACTATAGGGTGGTTATCATGGTTGCCTTCCAAGCAGTCAATCCAAGTTCGTCTCTCCGTGGTCACAAGTGGCTTTGTGCATCGGTGGTTGAGCGATAAACCGCTCTCCGACCACACACTTCACTTGGCCCGGGGTTCAATCCTTGGTCACAAACGCACTCCTAAACCTTGCTGAGCCGGTAGTAAGGTTTTTAAAGAGGGAAGGTTGGGCTGGCAACTCTACTCTGTAAACATAAAAATACCACTGCTACCAACACTTTGCGGCTCTAGCTTGAAGCCCTATATTCCACTGGGAAACGTAAAGAAATAAAAGCGGGACTTTAGAAACATGCGTACATCTACTTGATTCGCGTCAAAAAGGGTATGAATAGATTCAAGTAGGATTCTGTTATATGTGGAAGACGACTTTCATTCTGCTTTAGATATGTCGGACGAATTCAGGTAAAAAGTGGAACTACTCTACTGCTAATTTTTCTCACTGTTAAGCTTTCTTCTACTTGTGTTCCTTACAATCACCGGGCAGGTGGGGGTGTTTACATCAACATCAGAACACATATACTTCTCATGACTGTCTTACTTTGCATGTACTAAATTAAAAGAGGCAACTGAAGAGATGATTCTCATCAAATCCATTAATAATAATTCACTAGTTCCGTCATTAGAAAGCTCAATGAAGCCTTTGGAGTGAGGACAAAAGTACAACAAAGCTGACTGATGGACTAAACCATGAGGTAGACAATGGCGATCGAGAAAACAGACACATGTTGGAACGACAAGAAGACTGTACAAAATCTGAACTTCCAGGACAATTTGTATCTAGTATCACACAAACTCAAAAACTTATAGTAAAAAAAACCCAACAAGTCGACAGAAGATTCAGCAAAAACAGGACTTCAAATCAACACAAAGAAGACAGAGGTGGTGAAGATAACCAATCGACCACCACCAACAACAACAACAGGAACTACAAGCACCAATCGCCATCTACGAGAGAAATTTAAAGGAGGTTACTTCTTTCATTGATCTAGGCGGCACAGTTGAGAATGTTAAAGCCAGCCAGGATCAGAAAAGCAAGAGACAGACCTTCACTAATCTGAAATCAGTGTGAAAATCTGCTGCACTCACCATAACGAAGAAGATTCAGGTTTTCAACACACCAGTCTCAAGTCAGTATGTCTATGTGGTTCACAGACTTGGTGCAAGCATCACTGAAAGCATTTTTTCAACAGACTTATCAACAGCTGAGTCCGCCAGTTCCAAACTGCCCGACCGATAGCTGCTACCTTGACGTGGTGGTTGGGTTTGCACATCGCGATGACCCAACAAGCTACACTGGCTGGAACCAATGTTCCTGCAGGTCCTACCACACCAGGAAGGTTGTTAGGATAGCGATTAGACCAAAAATCTTTCTTACACTATGCTGGGGGTCTGTGGACGAAGTCGTACTGCTGGGGAACAGTGAGGTGTTTCCCTCAGATGACCAGCATGCCAGCCAGCTATGCTGTCTCTCCACTCTGGAGACAGGGGGTTAGAAAAGGCCGACAGCAAAAATTGTACATCCCGACTTACCCTACGGTGGTCCGTTACCAGCGGTAAGTTTACTAATACGGAACCAAACCAAGAAACCAGTTCATACAGGCTGTGTGTGACCGGTCTCAAGCAGGTGTTCCCTGGGCTCTGCGGTTACGCAATACTAACTCTTTCTGTTTCAGATACCCGAAAAATCAATCAACTTCCACGGTGTGGGCAGCCGGGAAGTAACAACCGCCCACACACTTCCAAAAGCACACGAAACCTTCCTAGTTCCATACTGAAGATCAGATGGTCAACCTAGAGGATAGGCAACAATGAACTCAACAAATACGCCAAAGAGAATCAAGGTGAGTGGACCAAGCAGACGTTAACGAGACCATTGATGAGTAGTGACATCGCGCCAAAGGCCCTCGAGTGGAACCAGAATGAAAAACGGAGAGTTGGGCACCGGGGGTGACATGGGGGAGGGATGAGCAATTGTGGAGCTAAACAAAAGGGACTGTAGCGAACGGGGAAAAATGGAGATGTTCTGTGGAAGGCTTAGGAACCCAAGCGAATAATAATAATAACCAATCATGATTCTAGTGAATTTTCTTTTGACATGTACAAAAAGATGAGCATACGAAGGTCCAGATAATCCAAGTCTATTGTGTCCTAACAACCTAAGTACCAAGGAATTTAACACATAGCTAAAACACTGAAAGAAAGACACACCGCAGTAGTCTTTTATGCATATACATAAGGTCAATAAGCGCGATAATTTTTTTTTTAAAATAGTCAATAATAATGAATATACAACAATTTACACTTGTCAATAAACGTACAAGGAGTTACACTCATAAACCGGATGACCAGGAGGTGCAAGCAGTCGCTTGCGTTTATCATATGGAGGCATTGAACCAGCACGAACTGCACAACAATTACTGCGTCTATTCACCCAACAAGGATAGATAACTGATGAAGTATCATTGTCTTTTTTAGTTATTTTCGCTAACTGTGATAAATTTACATTATCGATTGTACATTCACAGCCAATTGGAGCTTTAGTTGGCAAGTAAACATCTTGCCCAGGTAAGTAATCAGGAATTGGTTGAAATTCAACCGGAGGACCTTCAAATAGAAAAGCGAAAGCAAAAAAAGAAAACAAGATTTGAAATCATAGAAATAAAACTACATTCAAGTGAGTATAACACATTTTTGAATCAATATACAACTTTAAATCTCTCTGACTCAATCTCATAAAAAACATCGGTTAAGATGGTTAGGACATGTGTTAAGCATGTTTGCCTAGCCATCATCTTCCTCGATAACAGACAATGTTAGCTGACATAGGATTGATCAGGTTGGGAAAGAGTCAACCAGTGGTAGTCAAACGAAAACATGGCTTCATCAGTCAATGGAATCCATAACATTTAGTTTGAGTCAGCCAGCCACTCATGTAGGGAGGTGTAGACTGCCTGACTGTTTGGGGTCATCAGGATAGTAGAAACCAATGAAGGCTGGAGACAATTGGTGATATGACTCGAAATCTTCGTTGTCAATGGATGGCGGAGATGCATTCATTCACTCTTTGCGATTTTCATATCCAATGAGACTCTATTGATCTTCCATAGTACTCTCTTTTTCGCCTCAAAATTCTGTTTATTATCTCTCCTTTTCAACCTCTGTTCTTTTGCTTGGTGTGCTATATATGGAGTGTGGCAACTGGGACTGCTGTACATCTGTGCAAAGAAATTTCTATGTTACAACCAGTCAGTCATAAAACTCTGAATTTCGAATATAAACGCCTTCACTGAACGGTTACCACACAAATGGTAACCTGAGACTTGACCAAAAACAGTCGATAATTCAAAGATGTGCAATAAATAACAATTTACCCAAACCATTTTGTAAAAACTTAAAGTTTTATGGGTTAGCCATCATCAGCTTTAAAGCAGATGCCAACCACTAGAACTATATTATCACGATATAACATGCATATCCAATTAATAATTATCTATAGTTTGTTTTGTAAGGATTAGTTTTGTTTTTACGAGTTGATCATGGATTGATATCAGCTAGAGAACCATTGAAAACCAGGGAGTACCGCCAGACAGCTGTTTCATCCTAGTTTGGTAATCATCGGCAGTACGCACCCACTGGGGTTCGAACCCAGGAACTTCTGGTTACAAGGCAAGCTCGTATACCATCCAGCCACTGGGACCCGAATCAATGGTTCATGAATTCCAACTTCTACCAATTCGTGATTTTGTGGTGAGAGCTGTCTACTAGCCAAATTGATAGACAGTAATTGACGTGAATGTTTACGTTCTCAAGATTGGTCGTGAGAAAATATGAACAAGACGGATTCAAAAACCGACAACAGCAGACTTTGCGTAGGCGGATACAGTTAACATATAGATGATCTGACATTCAAGAAACAGTCACAAAGAGATAAAGGATTAACTTTAAGTGAGAAACAACCAATCAGAAGACTGTTTGTTTGCTTAACTAATCTATAATAATGTACATGAAAATATATAAATATGCTTTGATTTCCTTAATAAACGATCTATTGCCTGGCCCTTGTCTTCTGTTGTTACAATTTAGTGCGACCCCAACCATTGTCGTAGGTGGAACATCCCTGGTTTTCAATGGTTCTCTAGCTGATATCAATCCGTGATCAACTCGTAAAAAATAATATTAATTACAAACTGATTAAAAACTCTATTGAAATATACAATTTCAGGAAATTGGGATTGGTCACACTTAAAAGTATTAATTTGCTGTAAATTGTATCACTTTTTTGAAGATCTTTACATATGTTTTATCCTCCTCTATGTGTCATTGTTGTTACTGCTTTTGTTCAAACTCATTCACGAGGAATCCGTGTATAAAAGGAAATCTTTACATCTCTTAATTATAGTGTAAACCTCTTGACTATCCAATTTTTGAAAGAATACTAATACCAAAAGCCATAGTGCTTTGGTAAACACAATGTCAGACTTGATAACACAACCCACAATTTATGCTACTTTCATTTTACAGTCAATAAGGAGAGGAAGAGAAATACGATAGAAACTAAATCAAAATAATTATATTAATGAAATCCAAAAGCAACTACGGACAAGAAAGAGAGAAAGCCAAGAAAAGAAACATTGACTATATAATAATGCTAATAATTCGTAACAATAAGACCAACAATTGGTGATACATCTACAACATTCAGAAGTATTCTAAGTCACAGATGACTAACTGACTGGCTTTAACGTAGAACTTTTTTTGCCCAGACGTACAACAGTTCCAGTTGCCACACCCTCCATGTACTACACAAATCAACAGAAGACAGTAAGCAGAGACAGATTCAAAAGGGAGATAATAAACACAAATGTGAGTGAGGGGAAAAGAATAGCATTATGGAAGAAGAATAAAGTCTCATTGAATGTTATAAATCACAAACAGTGAATGAATACATCTGTAACATCTATTGACAACAAAGATTTCGAGCCATATCACCAATTGTCTCCAGTATTCACTGGTTCTTACCATCCTGATGACCCGAATCATTCAGGGAGTCTACACCTCCCGACCGATAACTGCTACCTTGCCGTGGTGGTCGGGCTTGAATGCCGCAGTGACCCAACAAGCTAAACTGGCTGGGACCCATGTCCCTGCAGGTCTTACCATGTCAGGAAGGTTGTTTGGATAGCGGTTAGACTAAAAGCAGTTACCATGGGGTACATGGGCTCCAGAATTCAATCGGATCAAATGGCGTATGAACCCATATGGGTCACCGGCAACCATGGGAACGCAGCTCCTGACGCTGTTCCGCTGCCTTGCGGATTAGACTCCAAGCCAAAGGCTCGGGTGTGGTCCCTTAGGAAAACCACCTGCTTCGGTCTGGATGCCCGGGCAGTATCTCAGCCCTCACACAATATTGTGTGGCGCATCTTTCTTGGTGCCATATTGTACCAAGTTTTTCTGCGTTTAAATTAAATAAATAACCTCCCTACGTGACTGGCTGGCTGACTCAAACTAAATGTTATGGATTCCATTGACTGATGAAGCCATGTTTTGGTTTGACCACTAGTAGCTAGCTCTCTTCCAGCCTGATCAATCCTATGTCAGCTAACATTGGATGTTGTTGAGGAAGGCGATGGCTAGGAATGCATAACACAGTACATGTCCTAACCACCTCAATCAATGTAAGTTCACAACCTCGTCGATTGATTTTCTTTATCTAGCCTACCACTCGACCGAAGCCTAACCTCAATATTATTCATTCTATTATACCATCTAACACAGGAGTTAGGACGCAGGCACCTATGATCAAAGATAAAACACAGATAACAACCAAAATAGGCAGGACTTCTGCGCTTTTGTAACTAAGAGTAAGAAATTTCATAAATGACTTTCTTTCACGTCCACATCATTCTTAATCTGAGGAAAATTGTTCACAATTAAGTATCTTAACCTTGAGAATATGCTACAGGTAGGCATGTGAAAGGCATCTACGTCACTCGCGTTGATACAGACTGGATAGATTTGAGTGCTTAATAATTAATGTGTACCTGCTCGCCATCGTGATGCAGTGGACTGTGAATTCTTGATATTAAATGGTTGGAAGCAATCGGCAGGAAGCCTTGGATCTAGGTTTTGTGCCAGCCGGCACTCACGAGTTAGCAAGAGGTATCCGCGGGTTCCAATGTCAGAAGGGAGATGAGTTCCTTCAAAGTTTCAGATAAGCCCTGCTAAAGAAAGCTTCCTTCTGACTGCCTCCAACCATCTAATATCAACAACTGCCGTGAGAAATATTGATTAGCTAAGTAGAAACATTTTAAGATACCATAAAAGCATGTCTAGCGCATAATTAGCTTCACACAAACAGGTTGCATATCGTAGCTGACAGAATCGCATCGAGATGAGAACCAGTAAGATGACGGAATACTTTGAATATCAATCACTTCGAAATCTTATGCTGTCAAGTTAATAAAACAGTAGATAAAACTACTATTATCCAAACGACTGTAAGGAATGGATACATTTAAGCATCTCGACGTTCCACTAACTGATATCAGTTCTTTTAAGGACCCCTGGCAAACAATCTACATCTGTTTCATACAGCGAACTATTTTCAACCGCTTCAGTCGATATTTATGAGGACAGCATGTGATAGCATACTGTAACAACAGAAAACAAGGGCCAGGCAACAGATCGTTTATTTAGGAAATCAACAGATATCTATAGATTTTCATGTACATTATTATAGATTATTGTAAGCAAACAAACACAGTCTTCTGATTGGTGGTTTCTCGCTGAACGCTAATCTTTCATCTTTTTGTGGCCGTTTATTGAAGTTCAGATTATCTATCTGCAAATTGTATCCGTCTACGCAAAGTCTGCCGTGATTGGTTGTTGAATCAGTCTTTGTTCTTATTTTTCTCACGACCAGTATTGGGGACGTAAATTACTGTCTATCAATTTGGCTAGCAGCCAGCTCTCACCGCAATACCACTTATTACCAGATAAAACAGACTAGACTTTCAAGGTGTTTATATGATGACCTCAAAATTAATGAATAAGTGTCATCGTGATAACACTTAGACACGTGCGGTAACCATAAAAACCAATGTACGGTACACTTATACTTGAATGTACATTTGGAAACCTTGCTAGTTAGCGTGATGAGAGAAACGACAGTTAGATACAAGTGAACTAACCACAGAAAATCTAAACTTAATCCGATAAAAGTCAGTTCCTCTCTGGAAATTAATACGAGTGTAAATATTTTAATGAGTGGAAAAGTAACAAAAGCACAGTCAGAAAAGATCTCTTGGCCTGACTTTTTTCAACCTTCTTACGTGTGTAAGATAAAGCTAAGCCATCATCGACTAAAACAATTCTATAAAATGTAGGTATCTTGAGTATTTGAAAAAGCTCTATCCTACGAATACAATCTAAGACTTACACTTTACACGTTACAGGAGAAAAACACATTCATAAAATTGTTCTCAATTCTCTTGATATATGAAGTTCTACACGTGAGAACAGCATCTAACTTCAAAAATGTGAGGAGGAACCTAAGTGCAAATCAATCTACTATGTATGATAGAAAAGTCCTCTCTCTCTAAATTATAGTAGGCTGGATGCAAATAGGGCTGACATATAGTGGTAACAACATATGGGAGTATTTACTTGTATCTACAACTATATTACTTTCAGGTTGAAGGTTTCCTGAATCGGTTACCTTCAAGAAGTTTGGGTTGTCATTTACCTGAAGACCGAATAACTCTTTTTTTCAATTCACTGCTGACTGGCCGTTTCACTGATTACATTTTCAGTCGTCGAAAGGTCAAACCACAGATGTCTAGTGGTAGTATTATCAACAATCAACAACAATCACTGTCTGGGCACAGCATGGTATGATGCACGAGATGAGATGAAAACATACGATCAAATAGACCAAAGGACTCAAAGAATAGATAAAACTTACACTCAGAATCAACAGAATTTTCCACAGTGATAGGCGCTTCATGTGAGTAGACAGCATTAAGCTTTTGTTGGAATGTATTGAGGGCAGAATCTAATACTTGCTTGCTTTTCCGACAAATACGGAAACGCTTAGCGGGAACTGGTAGAAGGTCAGAAACGCTCGGAGGTCGCTTAAGTGAGATAGATTCCATATTACTTGGTAGAGATTGGGAACAGATGAGTTTGTCAATGTTAATAGAAGGCGATGGTTTATAAGGACGGAAATTATCAGTAGGATCAGACTGAAGACTAGAAAAGCGCTCCAGTAAATACAACGGTAAGTTTCCCGATGGATCAACGGCTTCCCTCAGTCGACCCATAACCTCTCGAATTTGTGATTTCTTATCGGGTTGAGATTCGGGCTGAAATACTAGTAAATTGACAATCTAACCTACCGGAAGCATTCCAACTGATTCACCATATGAGTCGACGAACTTTTGAATAAGATCTTCACAACCAGAAAGGTTACACTCTGGTTCCCATGTATTGAATACAGGTGGCCATCCAAGCCATTTTACGTAATAAAATACCTCACCCTGAAACATATTATGTAGAAAAAGTGATAGTACTTTGTTGACCGAACGTCCACGTATCGATTCAACAACAAATTCGCTGCCTTCCGGAAACTTGATCTCTTCAGTACTGTAAACTGTAAAACATGACAATCACAAGGCAAAGAAACGTACGTCCATCAAGAAGTTGGTAGGTTTTCCTCATTGACAGTTTTGATATACACATTTCCAGAAGCTCCCAACAAGTGTCTTCCGAAAGATGAACATTGTTTTTTTCAGCTAATTCAACTGTACTACGAATGCAATCAGGTTCAACCACTGACGCATTGGAGAAAGAAAATACTACATCCATTTTTCACCCAAATAAGGCGCAACTTCTTGAACCTTAGATAGTGATATGGAAAAACAAGCGTCAATACCGACATTGTTGGTTTTCAAGGTAAGTGACTGAAGTCCAGGAAATCCATCACGGTTGAGTCAATAAAATTTCTGTTGTCCATAATGCTTCGGCCAGTAATTACTGTCTTTCTTACTTCCGACTGAGTATGAAAGGAATTTTACACAACTAGATTTCGCACTTATTAACAGACGATATTCAGTTTGTCTCTGTGTATTCAATATAAACTTTCCAAAATTGTTCGTCTGCAGCCTTAGTACTGTGTGACATTGGTTGGTGAATTTCACTGTTAAGCCTGACTAAAGTCATGCTATCAAGCAACTGTACCATTTGGCATGCTGTCGTTTTATGTTTGGTTATTCGTGCGTAAACCTTTAGTAAATTGAGCACGTGCGTTGAGTTAACAGCACTGACACCGGAAAAGACCACACATTTTAGCTCATGTAGGGGATCAAAGAAGTTCATCAAGCCAATTGAACCTTAGCCGTTTTACTGTCAGTGATGAATTTGTTTATCCATGAGCATGGAAAGACATTATTATTTATTATTATTGTTCCCTTGGGTTCCTAGTGGAACATAGGGCTTCAACTGCACGCCTCCACTTGCTTCTGTCTTCTGCTATACTTTTCAATTACATCCATGTTAATCCATACTGTTTCAGTTCCTCATCACACGATCTCTTCCACGTCACCCTTGGACGTCCCACTCGCCGCTTCCCTGTCGGGTTCAACTCGAGCATTGGCCTGACGCGTGATGTCACCCAACGGCCTCCTCAGCGAGTGTCCCATCCATCTCCACTTTCTCCTGCATATTTATTGAGCGATTGGTTCTTGCTTTGTTTCTTCCCATAGTTTCTTGTTGGTGATTCTTTCCGGCCATCTGATCTTGAGTATAGAGCCAGCGAAGACAGCTGTTGATAAAGGTCTGCAACAGGCTGTTGGAAATATTCTTTGTGACCCGCCAAGTTTCTGATCCGTATAGAAGAACTGACTGATTTGACGTTTGTATTGAGAATCCGAATTTTGTTGTTGAGTGTTGCTGAGTGACGAAAATTTCCATATTGGTTTCAGGTTGATGAATGTGTTTCTCGCCTTCCCGATTCTCGATTTGACATCCTCGTCCGTTCCCTCCTCCTGTAGTTGAGACAATGCTGCCTAGATAAGTGAATGAAGTAACCTCTTTCAAATCCCTCCCGTTGATGGTGATTGGCGCTGGATATCGCTGTTGTTGTTGTTGGTTGGTTATTTTCATAACCTCCATCTTGTCTATGTTCACCTGGAGTCCTGTCTTTGTTGCTTCTTCGACCAGTTTGTCAGTTTTCGCTTGTAAGTCTTCGATTTTGTGTGACATCAAACATAAATCATCTGCGAAATCCAGGTCTTCTAGGTTCGTCACGTCGGTCCAGGATATCCCTGTCTTCTCGTTTCCCACTGTCTGACGCATAATCCAGTCCACCACAATTAGGAATATGATTGGTGATTATAAGCACCCTTGTCTAACTCCTGTGTTTACTCCAAATGCCTCGCTGAGTTTTCCGTTGTGGATCACTCGACATGTGCCATTGTCGTACAGCTGTTGAATAAGGTTGATGAATATTTGCGGTACGCCGTAGTACTCGAGTAGTTTCCAAATTACTTCGCGGTCAACGCTGTCGAAGGCCTTCTCAAAGTCTATGAAGTTGAGATAGAGATTTGATTGCCATTCCATGCTTTGTTCGATGATGATGCGTAGATTTGCAATTTGGTCAGAACATGATTTGCCTTTCCTGAATCTAGCTTGTTCTGGTCGGAGTTCTGTGTCCAGTGCGTCCTTTATTCTCTCCGGGATGATGCGACTGAGGATTTTACTTGGCGTCGACAGAAGCATGATTCCTCGCCAGTTCTTGCAGAGTCCCAGGTCGCCCTTCTTTGGTAGTTTCACCAGGTAACCTTTCCTCCAGTCAGTAGGCACCTTTCCCTCTTTCCAGACCTTTTGCAATAATGGAGTCAGCATATCTGTTGTGGTTTCTGGGTCCGCTTTCAGTGCTTCCGAGGGTATTCCATCTGGTCCAGCTGCTTTTCCAGCTTTCAGAAGCTTGATTGCATTCATGACTTCAGTTCTCGTTGGAGGATTGGTGTCAACTTGCAGTTGTGTACGTGCTGTTGTTGGTATTACTGGACGGGTTGTAGGTGGTGGTCGATTCAAGAGTCCTTTGAAGTGGTCCGCCCATTGTTTAATCTGTCTTTCTTCCTTGGTAATTGGGTTCACTTGGCTATCTTTTATAGGTTTCACTTGTGTTGATCTCTTCCCGGATAGAGACTTGGTTATCTGATATAATGTCCTCAGGTCCCTTTTGCCTGCTGCCTTCTCAGCTTCAGTGGCCAGGTTGTCGTAGAATTGTCTTTTATCCTTCCTGGCACTCTTCTTCACTTCTTTGTCCAGTGCTGTGTAAGTTGAGCTCAGCGTCTCTTTCTCTTGTCCACCTTTGCATTGAATCATTTTCTCTTTCACCTTTCTCCTCTCCTCTATTAGCTTCCAAGTGTCCGTTGAGAGCCATTCCTTGTCTTGTCTCTTCTTTCTTCCCAAAACCGTCGAACACGTTTCGTTGAAAATTACCTTCAGAGAGTACCAATGGTCTTCCACGCATGATTCCTCAGTGATGCCATGTAGTGTTTTCTGCGTTGCTCTGACAGTTGCAGTGAAAGTGTCCTTTGTCGTTGTGTCCTTCAGTTTTTGTGCGTTGGACTTGCATTGTGGCCTATCCCTAGGTATCCTCGAGGCTTTCAGCTTCACCTTGAATGTCCCTTGTACTAGGTAGTGGTCTGAACCCACATCTGCTCCTCTCCTCGATCTTGCGTCCAGTAGGCTCCGTCTCCACTTCCTTGAGATTGAAATGAAGTCTATCTGGTTTTTGGTGTGTCCATCTGGTGAAATCCATGTTGCCTTGTGTATATCCCTGTGTTTGAACACACTGCCACCAATTACCAAATCATTGAAGGCGCAGAAGTCTGAGAAGAGTTCACCACTGTCGTTCATTTCACCGAGGGCCTCACGACCCATGGTGAGTTCTCTTCCTGTATTGTCTCCTCCCAGTTTCGCATTCATGTCACCCATCAGGATTTTGATATCGCTCTTTGGGACGTTGTCCATTACTGTTTGTAGTTGACTGTAGAAATCCTCCTTCTTCTCTTTTTCTGAGACGTTTGTAGGCGCGTAGCATTGAATGATTGTAACCTTCTTTCCTTTTGAGTTGAACCTGGCTGTCATTATCCTGGAGAAGATTGGTTCCCACTGCATGAGAGCTTTAGCCGCTGTTGGTGACATCAGTATGTCACTCCCTCGGTGTGCTCGTGATCGTCCTCTGGGTGACCGGAGTAGATTATTGTCTCTCCAGTTGGTAGTTGGCACTTTCCGCATCCGTTCCATCTGCTCTCGCAGATTCCCAACACTTCTATTTTATATCTCCTCATTTCTGCAGCTACCTGAGCAACCTTTCCAGTTTCGTACGTTGTACGAACATTCCACGTCCCCATCCTTATTTTTGCTTTCATCGAAAGAAGGCACATCGGCTGACTGGCTTCCCGGAGGCTTTCACCAGCCTGCGTCATTTCACTTCCCCGATTCCAGCTAAAAATAAGGTTATTGTTTGTATTTTTAGAATTTTTAATATATTTGTGCGTTGAAGTTTTAGTAGCAATTTGGTTAAGTTTTGGGGGTGGGGTTGCTAGCACCACGCCCCAACCCTCCCTCTTTATCCGGGCTTGGGACGGGCTAGAAAACTAGTGACCTAGTAATCTAGGCGAGGTTATGGAAAGACATGGTGGTTATATACTTTGCCATGTACTTTGAAAAGCAGCTTAAATGCGTACGTGTAATGAAACCACCACTTACTCAACTCCTGGACTCCATACGGTGTCATTTCACCGTAGGCCACACCAGGCATTTACTAGATAGCATCTACCAATCACCCATCTGTGAGGCAGAGCCCAACCAGCTACTGCTTGGCACCATCATGGGGATACGGGACTTAGGCTATGACCAAATCACCATAGCTGGAGATTTCAATGCCCCACTGCTAAACCTTGGCTCGGGGTATGCTCAGGGAAAATTTGGCCGAAATCTACTACAAACCACCAGAAATTCAGCACTAACTGAGAATGTTGGAGACGACACTAGGTGGGGCCCTAGTGGGAAGTCATCGAAACTAGATTATATTCTAACTAGTGGCCAACTGCTCGTCGAAAAGGTCCGGATCATGATTCCACTAGGAAGTAGTGACCAAGCAGTCGTGGGATTCGGTGTTGTTTTCCGTGAGCACTTGCAGTGGGACGTCACGCGACCATTTCTGTGCTATAATAAGGCGGACTATACTGGAATGCTGAGGATTTTGTCCAGTGCAGAGTAGCCCTTAGCACGGGACGAGTTATCTAGGGGTGAACACTGAGAAGTGGTAAAAGAGATTATTCACTCAGCAATCTACGATACCGTCCCTCCAGTCACAACACAGCCCTAAATGGTCATCATGCCTGAAGGGAGGTACGCAACGTATTCTGCAAGCAAAGCTGAAGGCTTGGTTTACGTGGCGAGTATCCAAGAGTCAGGGCGACTACGACGTATACCTGGAATTCAGGAGCCGGCGCGACATGAGAGCCAGGAGTGACAGGAGGTCATTTCAAGCTAACCTTGTTTAAAACTCCTGGCGAACCCCAGAAGCTTTTGCCGATTCGTGTCGGAAAAAACCAGCCAACCAGGGGGCATGCGCCTTAGTAGGCCCAAACGGTCAAAACCTCACTAATCTTGAGATAGCTGAAACGTTCATTTTAGCCTTTGCCAAATAGTTAAACAGCAATGTGGGTATTACTGGTACGGACAAAATGGCGGCACTACTACTTCACCGGATAAAAACCTAGTGGCTACGCTCCAAACAACCCGAATAGTGCGAGGGATGCTACAGAGACTCACATTTGGAAATTTCC